GAGCCTTCGCCAGGTTTTGCCAGGCGATCTGGGCAGCAAATGCTACCTTTTGCTTCTGTTTGGCTTCGCTAGGGGTTTCGTCGGGAGAGTCCCAGCGAGTGTTCGCTGCGGGGCTTCGCCAGGCGAATGGCAGCGAACATGACAGCATTTTGTGATTTTTTCTGCTGTGCTGTTCCGTTCTCGCGTGGTTGGACCCTTGTTGGTCGTGAGCAAGTACGTGGTTATTATGGATTGGTTGAGAGCATGAAGGTGATGTAGAGGGAGTGTGCTTGAATACTCGTTGATACGAACAATTGAACTGAAGTACGCTGTGATGCCTAAAGTGGCCATGTATCCTTCGACTAAGAGTGAATATGTGTGGATGCGTACGTGAGATATGTGCAACGTATGCGTGCTGTGTGTGAGATGTGAGGATCAGTATGATCGTGGCGCCTTGAGTGCGTTTTGTTGGTGTGTTGTGGTGAGTGGATCCGTGAGGATCGGTACGCTTATTATGCGTTGCATATGTATGCTGTTATGTGATGTATTGGGTCAGTAGGACCGACATGCCTTGTGTGCATTGTAGGTGATAGGCTGTGTGGTGAATGGATCCGTGGGATCGACGCACTGAGTATGCTTTTTATGTATGTATTTTGTGTGGTGAATGGATCCGAGGGATCGGTATGCCTTGTGCGTCGTGTATATGTTGTGTGAGGGGTGGATCAATAGGATCGGTATGCACTTGGTGTGCTAGATGTCTGATGCGTGTAAATATTGTTGTGTGCTCCCGTAGAAGAGGGTGATGGCCAGTTGTCCATCGATATTAATTGTTGTGTGCTCCCGTAGAGGAGGGTGATGGCTCAGTGACCATCGGTATTGTTGGTGTGCTCCCGGTGAGGAGGGTGATGGCCATGTGTCCATCGATATTGATGAGGTGCTCCCGTTGTGGAGGGTGATGGCCAGGTGTCCATCGGTATTGTTGTGGTGCTCCCATTGTGGAGGGTTGATGGCCAGGTGCCCATCAGTGTGGTGTACTCCCTGTGTGAAGGGTTGATGGCCAAGTGCCCATCATTGATATGTGCTCCTGTGTGGAGTGTTGATGGCCAATTGCCCATCGTGATTGTGGGTCGGTACCGTGTGTTAAGAGTTGAGTGTAATTGTTGTGTGATTGTATATTGTGGTTGATGGTGGGACCGTGAGTCCGGATGATATGTATATGGAATAGTATTATAATTGATTTCTGCCTTTTATTTCATGTACTATTATACCATTATTATTTAATCGTGATTCTCACCCCTTTGTTGTTGTTGTGGTCTGTGCTTCTTCGAAAGTACAGACAATCCAGGTGTTTAGCTAGCTTGGATTGTGGCGTCGTTGTAGGACATGCTCTGATATGTAACACCGGGGCTTTTGGGAGTTTGTTGTCATTTGTTGTTTATGTGTGCCCCTGTGGCGTATCTGTTCTTTTGTGGGATGTGTGATGATGCTTGATGGATATATATATATATATATATATATATATATATATATATATATATATATATATATATATATATATATATATATATATTGGGTCGATGGCCGATTTTTGTATATATGATGATGTATATATACATGTTATGTGGTTTATGGTAGACTAATTTTATTTTTCCGCTGCAATATTACTGAAAATGATTTTGAGAAATGTTATGTGGAATCTTGTGGAAAAATTGTGACATCCCGTAAGTGGGAGAAACTCTGATATGTGCTTATTTTAATCGTTTTATTTTATTTTGGGAAACGGGGTGTTACACCTGCAACTGCTAGAAGTCTTCACAAAAAGAAATCACCACGACAACGTAACGAAGCCAAGCTGTGAACAACCCAACAAGCTCTGTAGTGGCTGCCGCAACAAGGCAAGTATTTAGAAATCGTTCAAGACGGACCGATTGTTTGATTTGAATCCAAATTCGAGGTAACAATTCAAAATATTTTTCAGTTTATTATTGGCTTCGGTTTCAATCCTGTTTCAAGCTTTGTGTCTCTAGTGATTGTAACCAGTATAGGCAAGTTTTGATTCGGTTATGAGTACTCTCAGTGTGAAATATTTTGGGCATAATTTTGTTCCATTCTCACAAAACGGATGGTTTAAATCCGTGTTCAGATTTTCATTTTAGTTTGTAGTTCTGTTTTTATGAATCATTGTTTTTATGCTTGTGCCTGTTCATAAGATCGGCGATGAATTTCGACGTCGAGGTAACATTGCAGATACTGTTGTTTTTCTGTCAAATTTGTGATTAAATTTCAAGATCTGAGCTTATCTAGATTGTATAGCCTGTTGTTGACATAATAGAAATAATTTGTTTCAATCTCAGTATGTGCTAGACTGGCAATTGTAAGTTCCTGAAAAATGTATAACACTGCTTTGCAGAATTTACTTAGTGCTGCTGTATTTATTTTGGATTAATGTCATAAATGGCTTTTTGATTCAAGTATGTGTGAAATAGTAGAGATTTTATTTCATTGTCAATTTACAAAACAGTTTGTGTCGTGAAATATTGTGTGAAATTTTTGATTTCCTCGGTTTTGATTCATAGCTATGATTTGTTTTGCAGCCATCAAAAGAAAATGGCGGTATAGGGGTTTTTGTTACTTTAAAACAGATATGATTTTGTGAATAAGATCTTTTGTAAACATTGTTTAGAAATTGTATTTTAAATTATAATTTGATATGATGCTATAACTTGATTGTGATAATTCTAGAATCTGCTGAAGTTGTTATTCTGACTTATGCAAAAACTAATGGTTTCTTTTTGAATAGGAGGTCTGTTTAGAACGGATTCACTCGTGCTTTCCGTTCTAACGCGTTGGCGGCATGACCCTTGTTTGCTGCTATAACAGGAAGTTTAGGGCCTGATGCATGACCTTGGGGCTTCTTTGGAGGATACATCTCCTGGTGTGGTAACAACGTGACGAAGAAGCATTCGCTTGCGTACATTAGGTTCTGTTTCTTATACACGGTTTAATTGTTGTTCTTGTGTCAACAAATTGTTAACATTAGGCCTTGACTTGTTTTGGATAGGTTTTCTTGATGTTGGTTCTTCTCCAGGTGACGACAACGAGATGGTCTTGAGACTCTTCTTTTCTATTGAGCTCCTGCGTAGTTTCCGTTTAGGCCAGTTCCTGCTAAAAGCGCTCCTGTCCCAGAGGTTCAATTCTTGGCAACAGAAACACTTGATTGGCATTGAGACCGTCCTGCAGCATTAGTAAGAATTCTCCATAATGTTGAACTTCCTTGGAAAAGTAGCAAATCAAAGAAGGAGGATTTATGCAGAGAGATATCCATTGCGGCAAGCCTTTGATATATTATTCATATTTGATAGTTGTGAATATATATGTGGAAATAACTTCATTTCTATTATTTGAAGTTATTTTGAATACAAATTAATTGACCATGTCTTATGTGTCATATTATTGATATATGCATTTTTTTAAAAATGTGTGATTTTTTATTGTAGTATTGAATTATAAAATTTCATTTTCTTAAAAGAATAAATAAAGGGCATTAATAGCGCTTTTCTAGAAAGTGCTATTAAAGATAGTGTCTACAATAACACTTTTAGAAAAAGCGCTATTAAATACAAGGACTATAATAGCACTTCTACAAAAAGCGCTATTAAATACAAGGACTATAATAACACTTCTACAAAAAAAAAAAACGCTATTAAATACAAGGACTATAATAGAACTTCTTCAAAAAGCGCTATTAAATACAAGGACTATAATAGCACTTTTTCAAAAAACGCTATTAAATCCTTTCATAAATAAGGTTTATGGTAGCGCGGAACAGGGCAATGATAGCATTTATAATGAAGTGCTATTAAAAACACTCATTTTAATAGCGTTTTCAAAGAGCTATTATATGTGTCAAATTTATAATAGCGGGGGCTTTTATAGCGCTACTAAAGGTGAAAAAAAGCGCTATTAAAAACAATTTTTGGCATAGTGTTACTAGATGAACAATACTATCACTTATCTTGGTTAGAAAATGGGAAATGAGGAAGGAAAATGCTTGAGTTGAGAAAGGTGTCTGCTTAGATGAGATTGATAAAGCGAGGTAAATGAAGAAAGGAATCGACCTTGATCAAAAGGCTACAATCGTTGATGAATGCTTTTAGAAAAAGATAAGAAAGTGTTTTCTAATAAGATCAAGTATATATAAGCTTGAATGCAAAGGATTGTGAAAATTTTCCTCACAGCTCAACTCCCATTTATTTATTAGCAAGGATGACTAAATGATCCAGATCACCGATTGAAAGAAGATATGGACTCAACAGTTGGATTTCATTTGGGGAACATAAACAAACTGAAATGCACTATAACCAGCGTCATGCCCTAACTAGTCAGGTTAACTCATGTGTCAGAAGGGAGCAGCGAAACATCTCAATGGTGGAAATACATTTAATGAGCTTATTCCTCACTACTTTTTCAACCGACTCCAAGTGTTTTGCTTCCAATTCATATATGAAAACATCCTTTTAGGATGAGAAAAATCACTTAAGGATTTCTACGACTCTCTTAGTGCCTAACAAAACACTGGGGGAAATTGTTATTGGTCGGCCAAAGACCTAAATAGTCGAGGCTTAATCCATCTCAAATCCATTACACTTGACCTAAGGTATAAAAGTCAATTTACACGGAAAGCAAAGTATATTCTCTGATCTCCCTTTTTCACTAAACTTATTTTGAATCTTAAACTAAATTGAGCGTTAGAGTGCTAACCTTATAGGTTCATCCCCGCTCCACCGCATTAGAGATCAGTACCACCAGTTTAGGATCCTCATATAATCAAATGCATATATTTTTGGTTCAAGTGTGGAACAATTTTCTTTCTTGTTTCATCATTGGAGCACACATAAACACCCATCGGACATATAATAAATTCGAAGAGTTTTGGGGATCATACATGACATGGGACCCCATAGCACCTTGCCCAAGTTAATTCTTTCATTTTCAACATCCCCAAGTTTTCATTCATGAATCTATGAGAACCACTGAGCTAACCAGTCTTGAGCCTCATCCATTATGATCTTCAGTTCTCCTTCTTCCATTTCTTCTAGTAGACACAAGTTAGCCCCAAGTGGAGTAACCTTTATGGTGAAGTAACCTTCTGTATGAAAGGATTCTTGTACATCATATGACATCCCAACATTCTCCAAAACCATAACATACAGCTTCTTGAATATTACCAAATTTTCTTCCTCAATGTTTAACTCAAGGCGTGCAAACAGTGGTTTTTGCTTTTTTGATCTTCCCCCATTGAGCTCCATCGTGTGGTTAGCATATGCCATCCTTTAATTATGCCTACTGGCTGCAACATGAGGGTATGATCTTTGTCCTAATCTTCCATGCTGATGTCCACCCACAAAAGGAAGCTTTCTTATTTTAGAGTTATGCCCTTCTTCAATCTGTTTCTTTCTAGATCCACTCTCTTCAACACCTTTCTTCTTATTATCCTCTCTATCATCCCAATCTCCCCGCTCTGAAAATCTTCTTTGAAATTTTGGAATTTTTGCGTGGATTTTCCTAGATACTATTATGATATTGTCCAACTTTATTGCCATGAGTCTTTCATCTACCACCTTCTAGAATCTTGCGAATCCAAACCTCTTTTCACACTTGTCTCTTCTTGGGGAATCACAACTTCTTCGATCATAACGTTTTCTTTAAATATTGTGTACAACTTCTTTGTCCCATAATCGTTCAGGATCTCAGCGAAGAAAAGGCTAAGTAGTTAAGCTCCGTTGGTCACTTTCTTTTTTCTTTCGTCATATCCCATATAGAGTTTCCATGCTGAAGTCTTATTTTTTTCTTGTGACAGTTTTCAAGTAAGAGTTATCCCCATTCTCTCATATCTCTCTCCTTGCCATATTATAGAAGTGTAAAAAAATATAAAAGAGAACTTTTAAATATTGCTAAGTTTAAAAATAATCATAAATAAATCATTTAAGATTAAAATAAAATATTAGATTATCAAAATTTTTATGCTTTTTTTTAAAACTAATAGAGGAGACTACGTTGAGTAAGAAATATGTATTCGAGCAATTTAATAATAACCATTATTAAATAAGAGAGGTCAACCTAAAATTAAAAATAAATAAATTAAGGAACAACAAGTCTAATTAAGTCAAAAATTAATTCGATAATATATTCAAGTTTAATCTTGTAAGTGTTTATAAAAGTTTTTTTTAATAACTAAATTGAATTATGTATTTTTTGGAAGAACTAAAAAGAGGTTTCTTATTAACGCTATTATCAATTTTTTTTCTTCTCAACTTATTCAACAAAATATCCATTTAGTAACATAAATCAAAATGACTGTGTACTACATGTTTTCTTCCTCCATATCCCAAAGAATTGGGAACATGATAATGAAAGCTAATGAAAAGTTGGTTGACAATTGAATCATTAGCGTCAAAAAGGAAGAAATTAGGACAACCACTATGGAAATTTAGTGCTACGTTCTAGGTAATTCTAATCCAACGAAACAAACAATCCATTAATGCTGAAACAGATGTGACTTTTGGCCAAGCTTGGACTTCAATCCGTATAAGCAAAGCAACCAAAGTTGTTTTCTAAAACAACTTCACATTGATGAACAAATTAAACATCATAAAAGATAGGCAAATAATTTGGTGTAAGTAAACTTATAACAAAAATAAAGATGATTTCTAATACAAGCAAAGAAACGTTCAAACTATTATCCAAAACATGGCCAACCAATCAGCATACTTGACCCATTCTCTTAAAATGTGAGTAAAGGTCACCACCTAAAGGAGAGGAATTAACTTCTTAACGAGGGTACATGAAGCAGATGATTTAGTGAAGGAAATGCAAACTCTGAATACTTTTATGGATGTATTAATAGAGAAAAAAAATTACGAAGTTCTGGCACTAGAAGTTAATGAAAGATTATTGAAGGATGCATATGAGATAAAAAAATGTTAAGAGTATAATTTAAGTTGTATATTCGAAGTTCAAGCCCAAATTAATTAGGTTTAGAGTTTGTTATAGTAGTTACTTAGTATTCAAGTTATATATATATATATATATATATATATATATATATATATATATATATATATATATATATATATATATATATATATATATATATATATATATATATATATATATATATATATATATATATATATATATATATATATATATATATATATATATATATATATATATATATATATATATATATATATATATATATATATATATATATATATATATATATATATATATATATATATATATATATATATATATATATATATATATATATATATATATATATATACTGGGGATCAATTTATTTCAAGAGTAAGTTTTTTTAATTTACTCCAAATCACAGTCTTTGAATTGAATATAATCTAATGACTAAATTAGTCTTTTACTTGATTAACCATTAGATTATATTCAATTGAAAGGTCATGATTTAGTTGTGGTGAAACCCTAACGGATAAGATGACAGTTGAAAAAGTAATGCGTACATTGACCTCTCACTTTGATCACGTTATCGTAGCCATTCAAGAATCCAACAATCTTGAAACCATGAAAGTAGAAGATTTGGTTGGTTTGTTGGAGGCACGCGAGATGAGGATTGTCAAAAGGAAAGGTGTTTAAGATTTGATATAAGCACTACAGCTAAGACATGGAACAAACATGGTGGTTCCAACAAATTCAAAGGAATGGAAACAAGGCTCGAATTAAGAAGTCTTAGTCGAACCCTCAAAAGCATAAGGTCAATGATAGAGATTTTGAATCCTCCAAAAGTGGAGAAGGAAAATCTTATCAGAAAGACAAAGAAGAGAAAAAAGGTATGTAGTGCTATAACTTTGAAAAATGGGGTCACTTGGCCAAGAATTATTGATACATGAAAGACAAAGGAGCGATAAAAAGAAAGGAGGAAGGAGCAAACCTCGCACGCTAAAATTTAGATGATTCTAAAGACATGGTGGTTATGGCTGTAGTTGTAGAAGAGCATGTCGATACCAAGATCTAGTTTCTCGACACATGTTGTTCGTATCACATGACTGGTCGAAAAATGTGGTTAGCAGATTTTAACAAGTCGAAGAAGAGGAAGGTCAAACTTGATGATAATGCTCGTTGCAAGCAGAAGGTACTTACGACATATTTATTCAAAGGAGCAATGAAGAAAAGCTATGATGTACTTTATGTACTTGGAGTGAAGTGCAATCTGCTAAGTGAAAGATAATTGGTCGAAAAAGGTTTCTCAGTGGTTATGATAGATTGAGCCTTGGAATTATTCAAAACTCAGAATAATCTGGTCTTAAAATCTCCTCTGTCAAAGAATAGAAAACTTAAGACCATGATCAATTCAACTGAGGTACAATGCCTAAAAACAGTTGTCCACCACAAGAGCAATTGGTTGTGGCATTTAAGATTTGGCCATCTTACCATTAGGTCAGTTAATCAAGTAATTACTCAAGATATGGTAACTGGTATACCAAATCTTGAGACGCCTGACAAACTCTGTGAAGGTTTCTTAGTAGGGAAGCAATCTAGAAAGTCTTTTGTTTCGTCCACAACTTAGAAGTAGTACCTTCAGATGTATGTGACTCGTTTGAGGATCATACCATTGGTGGAAACATGTATTTTGTCTCATTTATCATTGAGTGTAGTCGAAAGCTTTGATCCATGTGATCAAGCGAAAGGACGAAGTATTTTAAATCTTTAAGAGATTTAAAATGCTAGTCGAAAACCAAAATGAAAAGAAGATCAAGGTTTTGCGAATAGATGGAGGTGGAGAATACACATCCAAGATATTTGAGAAGTTTTGCGCAAAACATGTTGTTGATCATGAGGTAAATTCTCCTTACATGCCTCAACATAATGGAATACTAGAAAAAAGAAACAAGACCATATTGGATATGGAGAGATGCATGCTGAAGCAGAAGAACTTGCCAAAGTCCTTATGGGGTGAAGTTGTCACCACTGCTGTTTACATTTTGAACAAGTACCCTACCAAGAAGCTGGAGAACAAGGTTCCTAAAGAAGTGTGGAGTGGAAAACGACCATTAATGAGTCATCTGAAGGTGTTTGGCTCTATTTTTTACAAGCATGTTCCTTATGCAAGAATAAGAAAACTTGATGATAAAAGTGAACCTATGATTCTAGTAGGATATCACAAAATTGGAGCTTACAAGCTATTCAATCCAATCAATGGTAAGATGATGATGAGTCGAGACATTATGAATAATGAGAATTCTGCATGGGATTGGAGTTCAAGTGATGCAACAAACAAGCCATTGATGTGTTATGGCGGTGATGAAAAAAGTAGTGAGCACGAAGAAATTCCAGTTAAGGACACTCCAGCAATAGTCAAAGTCAAAGATGATAATTAAGTCAAAGTCTAAGTAGATAATCAAGAGGGTATGGCTAGCTGTTGACCGGAAGTTTCAACCAGAGAGCAGCAACGCAGAATTTGATCGACATGCTCAGTAATCTGTTGAGGAAGAAGTTCGACGTCGACAAGAGGAAGATTGTGGGGTCGACTGGGTCAGCTAAGTTCTATGCAAAGAGATGTCTATTTGAGCAGGAAATGGATTTGAAATCTAAGGATGTGGGAAGTTATAAAAGTAGTGGGCGAACACATGGCATCAACAGGTTCAACATGGAAGTTATTTATTTCTCTATTTAAAGCAATGTATGTTTTGGTTCTAAGGGCACATTTTTGTAATACTGTAAGAAAAGCACTTTGAGTACCAAAGCGTAATGAGAAAAGAGTTTTCACTCCTACAAGATGTATGATCGCGTCTACATTTCCCTTTTTATAAGCAATTTATGTTATTAATTTTAAATGTGTCTTTGCCTTGTTGTTTTTTTTATTTTTACTCCGTTTACATAAGTTATTTATAATTCCTTTGTACACTTTTCTAAGTTTTCAGTCTTACTTACAAATAATTCCCAGCCTATTTCAAATAGACCCCATTCCACCATTTTTCCCATACATCCTAAACCAAGTTTTATGGACTCGTTTGACCGGTCCCGCAAGTAAACCTGCGTTAGGAGGTTAGAGGTTGTTCGCGCGAAAACTGCATGTGAACAAATTGGCACACCTGGTGGGACCCGAAGGGTTTGGGTGCATGCATTTGTGTAGTGGTAAGATGGTGATGTCACGTCCAAACGAAGAACCATTTTCAGAGGGAAATATGATTGATACTCAAACCTCTGACATCAACATTGACATTGTGTCTACGGTGTCGACGGCTCAAGGTGGGACAGTCGTGATGCTGTGTCTGCTTGAACTTAGGCC